TACGATCTGTTTGGGGAGAAAGCTGCCTCTGCTTCAGCATTATATACATGTCTTGTCTGGTCCAGTTGATAATACCATTCTTTAATATGCCCAGAAGTATCTTTCCTCTTCTTCTTTTCATTCATGGCCAGAGCCCAGTGTGAACCATTTCTCCAGATAATTTAGAGTACTTCATTGCAGGCCTCTATGCTCTTTGCTTTGTTTGCAGCTTTTTCATTCTCCACGTTTAATGGAACATAGACACAAAAAGCTGGAAATAAGAACAATCTAGGAAGAAAAGACAAAGACAGATGATTGTTCTAAGTGAAAAGAAGCACCCCTTCTGTGCAGCTCATGGCCGGATTTAACTCCCTCCTGTAAGGGAGATTCACTCAAATCTTGATACCATTAATCTCCCAGACACATCAATAGTTAGAGGTGATTTGGACAGAAATCCATTCGAGAAAAGATAATAGATTGGATGATTGCTTGAAATGGATGGCAATGTGTCATATGAAGACACTTGCATTGTGTAATGCACTAAGCAGACCAGGCTGAAGTACATAGCTATTTCAACTAAGGCATATTTGACGTTCATGTGAGCACATTTACTGATGCTGAATACAATTAAAACTAAAGAGTTGCATAAAAAGGGTATATTTTACTATGTGTGCTAAAAGTGGTGCAATACTTAAAACGGATTTCCAGTGAATATAAAAAAAATGTAAAGTTTTAACTTTTAAAAAATGGACACTTAACTGTCCCTTCCCGCATCCCCGCAGTGTGTCCGTTTCACAGGCCGTCTTGTGTTCCCTGTGTCGGCATCTTCAGTGTGGGCACCCAACTGTGACAGCTTGTGGCTTCACAGCTGGGTGCTCACTGCACATGCATGAGTAATGCTGAACTTTGTGAATGGTCCCATAGTTTTCTGGGACCTGTCATGTGTACCAGAAAACTATGGGGAGGGAGGGGAGGAGGGCAACTTCCACTTCCAATCACCTAAGCAATAGCGTGAAAGTGGGAGCGGGTACCTGTCAATTTCAGGTACCCAGTCCCCCCCCCCCACTCCCCAAAGGTGCCAATCCTTAACGGGGATCAGGGTACCAGTCCTTAAAGCGGAACTTTCCCTTTTAGGTGGAGCTCCGCTTTAATAACCAATCACAATATTATAAAAAATAACCTATTAAATTATACATAGTGAATTTGGTCGAAAACTATGTGAAGTAGAAATCCAACAAGTTTTTCTAGTTTCAGATCTTCTCCCGGAGACTACAGAGGATATAAGAGAAATCTCACAAAATGGCACAAAAGACAGCTTTTAAAACATCACAGGAATTCTAATGCTCACCTGTTCTACTAAAAAAAACTGCTTTTATTGCTGACTGTATCCCTATTGGATAGATTCTGCTCAATTGCTTTTAATTTTGCCACATGAGAAATGTCTCCAATGGGGACACATATAGCCAGAACCCCCCCCACCCCACACACACACACATTGTAAACCTTCCCCACACTATCAAAATGTAAAAACATTTTATTTTAAAGAAAACGTAGATTTAAAGCCTTCTTGAGTTAACAATATAGACAGTCTTCTGCAGAGCAAGTCCAGAATACTTCCTTACAGATAAAAACATTATGCGTTACATACAGTAGATCCATTATTCCTTTTGTCTCCATATCTAGGAAAACACAATCTCATATCATATTTCTAGGAACTTCATATGTCAACACATTTCTTGGGCTTTTCCCACTACTTCAGGATATGAAAATCCCAGTTTCAGAAATGTTTCTATAGTTTCACAGTATACATATTGATAAGACTCTTTAGGGATGTCATGTTCTTCAAAGTAAAAGAAGTGTACATATGAAAGTGTACACCTCTACCTCTATCTACTTTGTCCACACTCACTACACTGGGCAATACTGTGCTGGATGAAAATGGCCCCAGAACTTGTCCTTTGTCTCCTCTCTGTTGATCCGACAGTAGGAGACATCAATTCAAACATGACTTATACAAATCATACAGTTCACATTTGGAAGCTAGACTCTTAATAGTAAAAAAAAAAATAGTTAAAACCAGGCATGTCTGCATTGAAAGAAACACATATTATAGATGCTAATGTCCTTGCACAAAGATTGGGTTAATTGGACCAATCAGAAACTTTATTTACAGTATCCATGAGGCATCTTTGCTCTTATTAAGTGCATTCAAAATGTTGCGTTAATGACTCTGAAACTGGACACAAGTGAATGCTATGTGTATATTTACTGTGCTACATCAAGCAGACATTTACATATTGTAAACAAACACATTGGCCTTGATTTATTAGAGGTAAATATACTGTGCACTGCAAGTGCAGTTGCTTTATATCCAAGGGAAAAGTCTGAAATGAGGAGAAGTTATCCTAATTTCTTTCATTCAATCATGTGCAAGCAAAAATGCTGTTTTTTTTATTTACCTTGCATGTTCCTCTCAGATCTACAGCAGCTGCACTTTCAGTGCACTTGCAGTGCACAGCCTATTTCCCTTTAATAAATCAACCGCATTATCTTTCATATCAGTGGTTGCCAACTTATGAGCTAAAGGGAGCCTCAAATTTGCCCACAACATCCCTAAAGGGCTGCATGTAGTGTTCAGTATATTGTGTATAATGCTATCAGAAACTGCAGACCTTCAAGAGGAAATAAGGTCTAGAAAGTGTGGACATTCTACATTTTTTGCTGGGGATATGCTGCAGAAGACAATACGAAACTGGGAACATTACATGAGGCTAGTACAGTTCAATGTGTTTACCCTAATCAATATTCCCACTATAGACTACTGAGGTCTGTGGGCTGCACATCATATAGCAAGGGGCTGCAGGTTGGACACCAGGGGTTTATACACATTCTTCCTTGCTAAAGTTACAATTCCTTTTATCCCTCAACTTATATCTGCTATTTTCAGCAGGTAATCCAGCATTTATGAACTTCACTTTGTTCCACTTTAAAAATCACACTCCTTTTGTTCCGTTTAAGTCAGAATTAGGTCTATTTAACGCATGAAAGTATAAACTAGCAGAAAGTTGGATCTTTAGTTGGGAACCAAGATGGGGATGCATTCACAGCATTTATATGGCAAGTTCTTGCTCTTACAATCTGCCATATAAGGCGATTCAACTAGCAGAACATGTATCCAATGTAAAATAGAAACATGTACAGAAGCCATTACTTTTTCACAAAAAACATGGAGGCTAGTATCTGGAAAATATGAACTAATCCATCTAGCAAGAGCTGTTTTGCAACTCCCTGTGAGCTTTTATTTTCTAAGAGAATATAAAATGCATCTAAAGACAAATATTTTTTTTTAGCTTTTGGTTAAAGTGGTGAGAGGTTAGAATCTTTGTCAGTTTTTATTTATATCTGTATTCCTGCCAAAGAGATTCATTTTTCCTGGTCACAACTGTCAATGGGACTGAAAGGGGGGGATATTCAAAATTTTGAGTTGTTACCACAAAGAGTAAAGGTAAATCTCTAGAATTGGACACTGATGACAAAAAATAATCCTAAAGGAAACAAATAAAATGGAATAAAGCGAGCGCTCATAAAACAAAGTAGGAGGTAGCAGCTAAAGTACTTGAGGAAATCACAATAACCTCACGTCCTGTAAATGGTAAAATATAAAGTGCAGCGCTAAAATAAGTAATCAATAAATAAGTGAAATGAAATAAAAGTTTGTTTAAAAGTTTGTGCAATCAATAAATTCATATAAGGCACTAATAGAACACTTCCATAGTTGTCGATATCTCATAAAGGCTTGTGACAGAGGAAATGACAGAAATGCGCACTCACCGACCGCGCATATAAAAAATGTGCATGTAAACATCCATCAACCCGGGTGTGAAACAGCAGGTAGGTGATGAGGCATCTCTCAGAAAAAAGTTGTCATCAAGCAATGGTCAGCTGAACTTAGAGGACTCTTTTAAGGATATGGGTGAACTGTCTGGATACAGGGCTCCCTCAATAAGGGGCCAAAAGAAAGTGCCAATAGTGTAGTATTTTCTAGGACTTTTTTATGTAGTATTAAAAAGTTAGAGCATAAATATTGCAGGTCAGGAGTACATATAACAGTGCCAAATATCAGCAAGAGCAAAGTAATGTACAGACCCCTTAAGTAAGATGGCCGCCGGACCTCCTCGTGGTCCCGGTGGCGATGACGTCACACGCTGTCAGCTCCTCCTTAGGCCTTTCGTGCTAAGGCACATCATCAGAGGGGAGGCTAACAGCGGTGTGACGGACGTCAATGCTTAAATAGAGTGGAGAGAGCGGCGAATGCGCACTAAGTCGCCGCCATATTCCCGAATAACGGGGCAACTGCGCATGCGCGCTCGTTGAGACGCCGTGGATATTAACCTGACAGCTGGAACGCTCGATGGACCGCTGTCAGAGCATAGGGAAGACAGAAAGCAGAGCCGAATGAGAGTGGCTCAAGACCCCAGGGGGATACATAGAAAAGTGATCATACTCATAACAATACCTAGCCCAGTGGGGAAGAAACCGCCAGGACAAAAGATCCCATAAGTATTAGGTGTCACCGAGGCTAGTGATCTCCACAGGTGCCCTAATTTCTATAGAGAGCTGTCCATCCATGGCATAAAAGGTGCTCTACAGTAAACATACTCTGTACAACTTCAGGGAACAAAACTTGAATTGCCATGGAAAATATAAGTATAAAAACATAAAGGAATAGTGGAAATAAATGATAAATATAACATATACATATAAAAAATAAATATTAAATAAAACTAATTCCAATAAAATAAAATAAATACCTCTATAAAATCATGCCTAATCAAGGAACAAATAGAGATATAAAATGAAAATGTGTAAGGACTCCTTAAATAGTGGGTCATTATAGGCAAAAATCAAATTAAATTAAAATAATGTATAAACAAATAAATATGATTGGACTAAAAATAGGTATGTACCGTATTTTTTTCGCTCCATAAGACGCACTTTTTTCCCCCAAAAAAAGGGGGGGAAATGTCAGTGCGTCTTATGGAGCGAATGTAAAGTGGCCGGTCCGGTATTTCTGCCGCCACCATGTCAGAATTTCGAGCCGGCCACTTAGCTCTTCTCTCCTGCAGGACCTTACCTGTTCCTCGCTCCAGCGCTGCAGGCTTCCCGCGGCGGCTTCTGTGACAGCTGGGTGCCCACTGCGCATGCGTGAGAAGCGTCACGCTTTGTGAATGCTCCGGTGTCTTCTGGGACACATGACAGGTCCCAGAAGGCTCTAGGCCATTCACAAAGCGCAGCGCTACTCCTGTACTGTGTCCGCAGTCTGTGGTCATCTCCTGTCCTATGTCCGCAGTCTCTGGTCATCTCCTGTACTGTGTCCGCAGTCTCTGGTCATCTCCTGTACTGTGTCCGCAGTCTCTGGTCATCTGTCCTATGTCCGCAGTCTCTGGTCATCTCCTGTACTAAGTCCACAGTCTCTGGTCATCTCCTGTACTGTGTCCGCAGTCTCTGGTCATCTCCTGTACGGTGTCCGCAGTCTCTGGTCATCTCCTGTACTAAGTCCGCAGTCTCTGGTCATCTCCTGTACTAAGTCCGCAGTCTCTGGTCATCTCCTGTACTGTGTCCGCAGTCTCTGGTCATCTCCTGTACTGTGTCTGCAGTCCATTGGTTCAGAATATTTTTTTTCTTGTTTTTCTCCTCTAAATTATTACAATAAATATTTTGTGCTAGTGAATATATCCGTGAAGCAAAAAAATATAAATAATATATATATATATGTAATAATTAAAAAAGAAAAAAATAATTAAAAAAGAAAAAGTACAAATAATAAGTCCACAATTTGAAGTATAAATAACACAAAAAATGTGCAAAGAAAAGTCTAAATGTGACAAAACACCAACAAAAACCTAAAAAAACTAAATAAACTCACCAGAGCTAAAAACAAAAAACAAATATTGCTCTGGAAATGATGATATGATGGCAGATCATCCGTAGGTATATCTTCAGGAAATTAAATTCTGCAGAACACCGATCCACATAGACCAATATCAAAATGGAAAAGACTTTTCAAATTATCAAGGAAATCCACTTCTCCAGAAAAGCCACCTTTAATCGTATCCAAGGAAGAAGATGCCAGGCACTCGAAAGAAACAAGAGAACTTCATGGTGCAGTATTATAAAAACCAAATTCCTTTATTAGGTACTCATTGCACTTAACTCAGGAGGTGTCCCAGCCGACACCAGCATCAACAGCATAACAGCAATCACAGAAAACGAACCTAGCTACTCAGCACATGCGCAGTAGCTCGTAGACAAACGTAATGACGTCACATCGATCAAGCTCTGCCCTACGCATTTCGTCATCATCATAAAAATATCACAGGGATAGTTTACTTATCTGCTTGATCAAGTGGAGTTATTATACAGGCAGATGAAATGATAATTAACCCCAGCGTAGCACCCCCCTGACCCCTGGAAGCATGATGGTACCCCCAGAAACAGGGAGGGCTGACATTTACATCAAGGGTAGATCACTTAGGCATAGTGGGACATGTAATTTTAGGTGAAAACAAATAAAGGATTTTATTACTCACAATCCTTCAGGAGAACTCTGTCACTTCACTTCGCATAACACAGGAAAAGAACCTTTAACCACTTGCCTACAGGGCACTTATACCCCCTTCCTGCCCAGGCCAATTTCCAGCTTTCAGCACTGTCACACTTTGAGTGACAATTGCGCAGTTATGCAACACTGTACCCATATGAAATTTTTATCATTTTTTTTGTAACAGATAGAGCTTTATTTGGTGGTATTTAATCACCTCTGGGTTTTTTTTATTTTTTCTTCAACAAAACCAAAAACCACTGAAAATTTAAAAAAAAAAAATGTTTTTTCTTAGTTTTTGTTATAAAATTTTGTAAATAAGTGATTTTTTCTCCTTCACTGATGTGCGCTAATGAGGCTGAAGTGATGGGCACTGATAGGCTGCACTGATGGACACTGATAGGTGGCACTGATGGGCACTGATGAGGAGGCACTGGTAGATGGCACTGATGGGCATTGACAGGCATCACTGATGGGCACTGCAAGGCAGCACTGATACATGGCACTGATATATGGCACTGGCTGGCACTGATAGGCGGCACTGAAGGCACTGGTAGGTGGCACTGACTGGCACTGATAGGCGACACTGACTGGCACTGATAGGTGGCACTGATTGGCATCACTGATAGGTGGCACTGATTGGCATTGATAGCTGGCACTGACTGGCACTGATGGGCGACACTGAAAGGCAGCTCAGATGGGCACTGATATGTGGCATTGATGTGCACTGGTAGGCACTGATATTTGGCATTGATGTGGCACTGATGGTCACTGGCACGAGACACTGATGAGCGCTGTCACAAGGCACTGATGGACACTGACAGGTGGCACTGCTGGGGCTACACTGATCATCAGGGCACACTGATCATCAGTGCCCTGATGATCAGAGCACATGTCCTGTCCGCAGAAAGCCGATTACCGACTCTCCTCTTCTCACGAGCTGTCAGCGTGACAGCTCGAGAGAGAGAAATGCAGATAACTGGCATTTCCCTGTATAAATGTGATCAGCTGTGACTGGACACAGCTGATCACATGACCGAGCCAACATCTTCGGCTCTCTGCGTGATCGGTGATCCGCTGTGTCCGAGGGACACAGCGCACCGCCAATTGCCACGCGCGCGCTCCCTGAGCCATGCATTTGCGGTGAGAATGGGAGGACGTCATATGACGTCCTCCCAGAACGAGAGAACCACCTTGCGTCCGTCATATTACTATATGGCGGCAGGAGGCGGTTAAAGTGGTAGTAAACTCTTGTGGAAAACAAAAACTTCTCCCTGCAAGTTAAGAGCATAATGTGCTACCTTACCTTAAAACAAAGCCATCCAGTGGAGCACTGTCACCGCTGTTAGGGCTTCCATTTCACCCGGTCTTCCTTCTGGGTTTTCACGGTCCAGCCATGGTAATGTAAGAGAAAATATTTGGTCCAAAATAAAAATATAGCCATGATCTTCAAACGAATATCATGCAGGTGATGAGGTGAATAGGTGATCACAGCAATGGTGAAAAAAATCCTCAAATGGCTAAAATGCCACCTCACCTCCTCAATGTGACCACAAGGGCCAGGTCGCTTTTAGTATCACACCATGATCCTTACAGGTAATAACTCGTCACAGGAAAAGGTACCGCAAAAAATCCCATCAATGGTGGCACTTACTCCTCACAGGTTCCCTCCAGGCACAGGTATCGCAATATAGCTCACTCTCCATAAAGGATCATATTAGTAAAACAGGAAGATATTCCATGTTGTATTTGTAAGGTTTATTAATGAACAAACACATAGAAAATGCCAATTGCCCACTCACATACAGTTGTGTCCAAAATTATTCAACCCCCAATGCTGTAAAGGGGTTTAGGGACTATAGTGTACATTTGGAATTGTATTCAGAATCAAATCCTACAAGGACGTTGTAACTACCCAAATGCAACTAAAATGACATCAATTGTTTATGTAATACAGTAGTAAAATGGTTCTTATGTGGTTTCTTCTTCATTGCCACAATTATTCAACCCTTAAAGACTACCACTCTGAAGAACAGAGGTTCATACAGGTGCTTTCCATCAGGTATTGAAAACACCTGTGGATGTCACCGAGCACAATCAAGCATAATAAAGCACCAATTAGGCAGCTTTAAAATGACTGTGATACTCAGCTCCTTCTAGACATTTACTGGTGTGGTTACAAACATGGTGAAGGCAAGAGAATGGTCCAGGAAGACAAGAGAAGAGGTGATTTCTCTTCACAGGAAGGGCAATGGCTATAAGAAGATTGCAAAGATGTTAAACATACCAAGAGACACCTTAGGAAGCATCATTCGCAAATTCAAGGCAAAGGGCACTGTTGAAACGCTACCTGGTCGTGGCAGAAAGAAGATGCTGACTTCGACTGCTGTGCGCTACCTGAAGCGTAGAGTGGAGAGAAGTCCCCGTGTGACTGCTGAGGAACTGAGAAAAGATTTGTCAGATGTGGGTACAGAAGTTTCAGCCCAGACAATAAGACGCACACTGCGTAATGAAGGCCTCCGTGCCAGAACTCCCAGGCGTACCCCCTTGCTGTCTCCAAAGAATAAGAAGAGTCGACTGCAGTATGCCAAAAGCCATGTGGACAAACCACAAAAGTTGTGGGATAGTGTTCTGTGGACTGATGAAACAAAATTAGAACTGTTTGGGCCCATGGATCAACGCTATGTTTGGAGGAGGAAGAACAAGGCCTATGATGAAAAGAACACCTTGCCTACTGTGAAGCATGGTGGAGGGTCAATCATGCTTTGGGGCTGTTTTGCTTCTGCAGTGTACAGGGAAGCTTCAGCGTGTGCAAGGTACCATGAATTCTCTTCAGTACCAGGAGATATTGGATGGAAACGTGATGCAGTCCGTCACACACCTGAGGCTTGGGAGACGTTGGACCTTTCAACAGGACAATGATCCCAAGCATACCTCCAAGTCCACTAGAGCATGGTTGCAGAGGAAAGGCTGGAACATTTTGGAGTGGCCATCGCAGTCACCAGACTTAAATCCGATTGAGAACCTCTGGTGGGACTTAAAGAAAGCAGTTGCAGTGCGCAAGCCTAAGAATGTGACTGAACTGGAGGCCTTTGCCCATGAAGAATGGGCGAAGATACCCGTAGATCGCTGCAAGACACTTGTGTCAAGCTATGCTTCACGTTTAAAAGCTGTTATAACTGTAAAAGGATGCTGTACTAAGTACTAAGATTGAATGTCACTTGGGGGTTGAATAAAACTGATAATGCTGTGAGCACAGAAAAGACATTTGTGGTTATTTCATTATAACTGTTATGTTATATTTGTCTGACCTACAAGTGCCTCTTTAATGTAAATGTAAGCAAGATGACTGAATGATCAAAAGCAATGTCAAACTGGCCAAAACACTCAATTTTCAGTGGGGGTTGAATAATTTTGGACACAACTGTATGTTCCATAGGATATCAGCTTCTAAACCTTATGCTATGGGTGTACTGCATGGGTTTTATTGGGTGTACCAAAATGGCGCCCACGCCGGAACTGCGTCACCGTGTACCGGAAACACGTCACTGCGTACCAACGTATTGTGTCACGCTAACCACGTGACTTCATCAGGGTATCATGAATTGGGATACCTCCTCATTGGTATGTTGTTCTAGACTAAGCTGGCCACCCTCTCCTCTGGTGTATTCAACTTCCAGTCTCTCTTTTGATGTATTTGCACATTGCCACCAACTATGCAGATGGAAACAGTAATATGTATCAGAGGCTGAAGATAAAGTCATGTTAAATCCTGAAGATATGACCTTTTTTCTAACAAACCCACATCTTTAAACACAGCTTATATGCTATAACTTAATCAAGATACAGGCCAGGATTTAAAAATATAAGAGCAAAATGGTCTAAATTACTTATATTCTATACATATTTTTACTCACAGCTCTCTCTCATTATAAATACTTTTTACAGAAGGTACAAGCAAAGGTGCCCATTCGTTAACAGTAAAAAAAAATCTCAAAAGATTACTTATGA